TAGTATATATATATAGTATNTATATATAGTATATATATATATATATATATATATATATATATATATATATATATATATATATATATATATATATAATTATATATGATACGTATATATATACATTTATGTATATATATATATACATTTATATATATATATATATATATTCATATATATATACTGCTGCAAATGTATGAATTAGCACCCGCATATACCCTTCTCCTGACGAGCAAAGGTGTCCCAGTTGATGACATCATGGTCGACGGTAATCCATGGACAAGGCAAGAGCAAACCGTAGCGAAAGAAGTAGTGGCATAATATGCTGCACCACTTCTTGCTTTGTTCATCCGTTGTCCGCAACAAGTGTACACACGCACAGCATATATACAGTATAACGAAGGTGACCGTAACACACAAATTGAACCATACCACAAAGATGATTTTCTTTATGATGTCTGGTAAATGTGACAGGAGGACAGCGAACGGGGTGTATACTGTCGCGCGTACGGAGTGTGATGACAATATATTGTTTGAATCATTCAGAAGGGTTTGTAACTTGGTGTCATCATCCCATGAATTAACAGGCATACCCATACTTAAAAATTTAAAACAACTATAGCTAGGTTGGACACAAAATGGTTCTGAGCGACCTACTAGCCCTCGTCCCGAATATAAATAAATAACATAGTTTGCCGATTGTAATAGTAAATACCGATGACCAACTCCCAAGTTTTATAAATACCAACAAATGACAACAACGGCAAATCTTACTAAAAGTTATTATATTATTACTTTTATAAATATATTGTGAGAGAGTGAATGATGAGCGGATGAATGTTTAAAAAGTTCATTACTTTTAGCATTTCTAGTTGGCCCGGAGTTCAGGATAGAACTCATGAGCGCGGACAGCTTCCTGCGATTCAGTAAAAACTAAAAAGTTAAAACTAAAATGTAAATAAACAATATTCATTTATGTATTTATCTATTTTTTTTAAACAGTAAATACCGAATATGAGTTGGCACTTGGCAGTACAGACTACTGAGTACAGGCGGGTAGCCTCTATTTTAAATTTTGGTTTTAGTTTGTTTTGTTTTTAAACAAAAAGACTCAAATCTAAGTTGAAAGAAGTTGGCCGATTGCCATTGGCCAACTGAAAACGAAAAGAAATTTTCACAAATGATTCTGATTGCTGAATGCTGACTCCGCCTGTAGGCTGATGAGTGATGACTGGCCTGCTGTTTGAGTAATTGGGTGTTTGGAAATATAAAATATGATCTAAAATATCAAATAAATACATACAGCGGAGGCCTGAGGGCATGAGGCCCTGAGCCCTGACTCCTGAGGCTAAGGCGCTAACGGCTAAGCTCATAACGATAAGGGGGTACATGTACGGGATAGAAGTTGAACGTAAACGCATTTTTATTCAATTTTAAAACGTTATGACGGTTAAAATAGTGTTACCAGAAGGGCCTACCTAAGTTCTTTTATAGGACTGGTTCGTATCATGAACATGATATACACTTAACTGATTAGACCCGCAAGTTGCACCTATGAACATACAAAGGACCACATTTGAATTGAAAGTTGAACGTAAACGTATATTTATTCGATTTATAATAGTTTTAACGGAAAATGGTTAGAGGTTTATGTAGAGCTTAGGTAGAAACCTTCCTTCTTTTTTAATCTGTTTTGTTTTTGTATTTTTGTTTTTTTTGTTTGTTTGTTTTTTAAACAATACGCCCGGTACAGTCACAACTCACAACTCACAACTCACCGACTTATTTATACATCCCACAAGTGACAAGAAGTTCGGTAAACAATATCACAAGAAGTGGCTCGGTAAACAATATCACAAGAAGTGGCTCGGTAAACAATATCACTACTGTTCACAGTGTTCAGTGGTCACCACTCACCAGTGCCAAACAATCCTGCGATTCGCCGGATTCTCATATTTTAAAGTTGAAATTTCTGGTGGCCCAAAAATTAAAAATAGAAATCCTTCGACTCGTAGGATTATTTGTGTTATTTTATATTCTGAGCCTAAGCTCATAGACAAGTGCGATATACGACACCATACCATGTATATTTGTATACGTATAGCAACCGGAAAGTATAGTGTTTACATTCAGTCAAGGATAAGTAGTTAAGCTAGTGTATAGGAACGAGAACGATAGTGCGTGGAGCGGGAGCTGGCCTACCGCTTCCCTAATATATTTATTTTTTGAAATAAATAATATTATCCCTATCGTGCGAGAGAACAATCATTGTCAAGTAGTATTCAAACTAATAACCAGAATAATCACTATCCATGGACACATGACATATACGATCCATTGATGCATCACGAAGTCACAAATACCAATGCCATTACACCTCTAATAGGTCCAATTTTTCCTACCGCCACAATACGGTTCATAGTAGGCACGAACAATCCACATAACAAGCGATGTACACACAGCGACATCAAGCATCAA